ACTAAAGAAAAGGTTCAAATGGAATGCCAGGGCTGTTCAGAGTAGTCTGGAGAGCAGGTGGTTGACTGGTTCCCCATGGACCTCAGAGGGCTCCAGAGCATCTTTGCCCCATTACCACCAAGCAAGGGGTGCCAGGGTTGTGAGGTTCCACAGATAGTGTGCAGCCATACGGCAACAGCGATGACTACTCCTTGGCTGAAGCTGTGACTCAGGCCAGCTTGCTACATCATTAAGCTATCATGTGCCAGAACCTGACATTTGACCTTCTTTGTCCCAGCCTTCTCCAAGTAATTAAGAAAACAAATTGTTTCCGTTGAACACTCAGGTCTGTGTTAATTTTGTCAGTCTCCTTTATTCTATATGTACATGTAGAATAAATGAACTACATCATAAACATATATATGGTGAGAGAGAAATAGAACCAATTTTAGTCCAATTAATGCCATTGCACATATGAAATGCCCTATAGTGCATTTCATATTCCTCTTACTAAGGAATTGTAAAGTACACTATGTTCCAAAGCATACAGATCTCTCCGTTGGTCCAAGAAACAAAAGTATCTTCTTACTAATTAGTCATTTGTAGTGCTTTCTTTCATTTGAAAGTGCTCCATCTTATTCTTCTGGCTCCCAATTTTATTATTCCTTCCCCATCTTAAAAAGAGTTGGAAATTCTAAGCCTATTCACATACTCCCTACACTCCTGCTGCCAAATATTACCTCCAAGGAGCTGTCATGTATTGTCAGTGGTGCAAACAGATGTGGAACACGGTCTAAAAGCTCAGATGCTGAAGACCCAGGTAAGCTATCATCAGCAGACCTCAAAGGACATCGCCTGATCACTGCTCCGACACTTTGAACTCTCTCATACCTTTTCTGCTACTTCACTTCTCGTTGATTTCAGATAGACCTACAGTCCTGAGATGCATTCTTTTAGTCCCAGTCCAGCAGCTTCCTTCAAGCCTTCCTTTATCCCTCCCAAGCCAGGCTCTCATTCCTGGTGGATCAGTGAGGCTTGGTTGATCTTGGTGGATCAACTCTGTCTGCAGGACCCTTCATTACTTCGTACTCATTTCTCTGCATCCACTCAACACAACCACAATCCTGGATGGACCAATAACCCACAATATAATTTCTTTGGTTTTACAATCTACCCTCATCCCAGCTGGGGAAAATCAATCAACCATGATTGGCCTCATTATTAAATCAGGGTTCATCCTCAGTTGAATAGTCATTGATACCAGGGAACCATTTTCGCTGGTCATAGTGATCTACTTCCCCAGTTGTCATGCAGCAGATAGAGTTGGAAGTTAAGCTCTGAGAGTCAAGCTCAAAAACGTCTGATATGATTGCTAAGAAGCTATCCAGAAAAACCCTGATAATGTTTATTCACTAATCACTAATTCAAACCTTTTCTGCTTTCCTCAACCTTCCAAATCAACTGTCATCCTTAATGCCTACAGAAAACAAAGTTGCGTGCTTCTTGACAAAATTCAGGCCATCAGTAGCTGCACTTGTCTTGGGGAAAAGGCTATCAGCATGTACTAAGTTGCAGTAAGATAGGAGTAAGAAGTTTTGGCGGGCTATTGCTTAGTAGGGGAACTATAGAGAACAATTACACAGTACACTTCAGAAGGCTGGAAGAAAGGATTTTGAAAGCTTTCACCATAAAGAAGTGATCAGCGAGCGAGCAGGTAGATATGTTGTGACTTGATTTAAACAGTGTGCAATGCAGGTATGCATTCAATATTATGGGGTAGCCATTAATATACACGATTTCAATGTTTTCTCAATCAGTCAAAAGTTAGAAGCAAGAAATTACATCCCTCATTCTACTGACGGTGACCCCTTATTAATTTATGAAGTCTTCTCTGACCACTTTACCTTCACCCTCAGTGATGTGTCTCCTCCTGTTCACATAAGCACATTTCCAATTCTTCACACACCTATTGCCTTTCTCTGTCTTCTCATCTCTCTCTCGCTCTCTCTCAAATTTTCTCTAATATCTTCCTCATTAGCCTTGAGTCTTTAAAGTCATAAATATATGGCCTAAGTTTTTCTCTTTATCCAGCTTTACTGAAGCAAAATTGGTATGCAAAAAATAAATACTGTACACAGCATATACAATTTTGTGAGTTTGGACATATATCTACATTTTTGTTACCATCATGACTCCTCTTATGATCCTTTATCCTTCAGCAATCATTGATTGCATCCTTCCCCTTCTCCCTCCACCATCAGACTTCTGGAAAGATGTATGTGTGCTCACGGTTTCCACCACTTGTCAATCTCCTACTTACTTATTAATTTCCTCCATTATTCTGGCCTCCACAGAAGCTACTTTTGTCTAGGTCATCAGTGACTTTCAGGTTGCTAAATCCACTATTAGTCTCAGTAGTCTTCTTACTGGGTACCTTGGTAGTATTGAATACTGCTGACCATTCTGTCCTTCAAAACTCTGCTCTTTACAATACTAGTTCTTTCTCACTACTTTTGGGGCTGTCACTTCTTTTACAATCTTCCAAATGGTAGGTACCCGGGGTCCCTTCTGAAGTCTCTAACCTTTATTCACTTCTAAACTGTAGAACCTCCTCCCCGACCCCTGCCAAACTTGTACCTATATAACAAACAATCCACTTGACATCTCTAACTGGACCTTCCACAGACATCTCCAACACAAGTTCAAAATGAACTTGCCATCTCACTCTTGTCCCCTCCCATGCAAATTAATACCCTACTTGTGTTTCTCACTTCAGCGATGATGACATCATCCTCACAGTCACCAAAGCCATGATTCTGGGGGTGTTCAAGTAGTTACCACACCCTGCCACTTTCCATTTTATTAGCATTTCTCAAATTGGCTCCTGGCTTTTATAAGCACTGCCAGTTTTCCTCTAGGCCCTTATCATTACTGCCTGTGACTATTAAAACAGCTTACACCACGAGAATCAACTTCAGGAGATATGGGTTACTGACTCTAGGAGACAGATTCCAGCATCAATGACAACTTGGAGTCTGTAGCTAACTTAAAAGTAGACAACTCTGATTCACAATTTTTCTGGTCGTGTTATTGATGTCAAATTGTGCTGCTGGATGTCATGGGAGTTTGGGCCATGTCTCCAGACTATTTCCAAAAGAGAAATTCTGCAAATAATGCATATAATAAAGGGAAATCTTTCTCTGTCATAGCATTTCATAGCTCCATTTCTCGTTTAATCTCGTTCTAACAATATCATTACTATTTTCTTCTCTTCTAAATCTAGTCAACGACTCCCTGAAACCCCAGAGCCAGAGCAAAGGAGTCCCGAAGACCTTGGCTCAGAGCATTGACATTTGGTCTCTGTCCCATGAAGCCCCACCTCCTGACTCTTCTTTCAGTGATTCTTCACAATAAGCCCTGTCCAGTAGGAATGCTGGGACATCTGTTGTGAATGTAAAGCCAGCTTGGGCAGTGCCTTACGTGTGCTGGAACTAGTGAAGGGCAGTGGCTGTTACTTCTCCCAGTAGTTGATCCCAGCCCCTCCCAAAGTGGAATGTTGTTCATGAGGTCATTGTTCTCCAGGACACTTCAGAGACGATGCACATCAGTGGTACAAGGACTAGGTAATCACCCCAAATGAAATACCATGAATAAAACTGAGTTAATGTTCATGTTAAGAGGACTCATTGGAGAATCTGGGTGTGAAGGACTCTTCCTGTAGGGGAAACTCCTAGAGTTGGAGTCAAGGACCAGCTCTTTCCTTCCCACCCAGAGGCTGTTTCCTCCAAAAACATTTTCATTCATTTCATCACCACCCCAAAATCTAGCGTTGCCTTGTAAATGGCAAATACAATCAAGATAACATATTAAAAAATCATTTAAATAGCCTGTTGTGACTCAAGCAGAACGCCACGTGGAAGCCAAGTGAGGCCACACCTCATGAGAGAACTACCCTTCTCTTAGGAAATCCCTGTAGACAATGGGGAAGATCAGCTACTTTTGGTGCCGTGTTTAGCAGCACCTCTCATATCTGCCCCAGGAGGTTGTTCCCCCTCTGCAATACCCAGCATGCAAAAGGAACTGCGCAGAGCAGTTTTCCACCCTCAGCCTAAGTCACAGCATCGAGGATCCTTCCATGGTCACCTTATAACCTCATTACACTCAAACCCCATGGAAGGAATTGTGGTTTCCTGAAGCCCCAGAACTGCCTTGGCTCAGGGCATTGACACTCACTCACTCTCGCCTGGGCCCCACCTATCCACACCTCCCTTATGGCTGAGGCTCCTAGACACTGCTGTTCTAAAGTAAGGGTGGTGGGCCTGGATGCCCTGGTCTACTAGTAACTTCACCACTACTCAAAGGCCTCCCAGAGAGCTGGGGTTCAATGGAAGTTTGAAGAATAAATGAGACAGTGAGTTGTGAAATTATTTATTAAGTTATAGTTTCATCTATATTCTCAGATAGCCAAGCAAATCCAGGTAAATACACATATTATTTAACGTCACGAGGAAGACCAAAGAGAAAGCTAGAATTGATCTTACTTTCTCTTACTCTTCACGCTGTTTTGTGTTCTGTCCTTACTCACATCTAAGGAAATAGCCACACACTGCCATGTTACCCTGCTCCAAGTCACAAAACTACATGGGTTTCCCAGTTGGTTGAAAAATTAACAAGACTCCCTCTTAAACTATATTAACAGCAATAAATGTGTGACTACTGTCCTTCATAACCTTCCATTCTGAAGCTAAGTAAACCTTCCATTAAAAGGGACATCAGAAAACTTCCAAAGGAAACAAAGGTCAAGTTCAACGTTTCCCAAATAAACAGGAAGACAAAAATTTTTTCTACAATATTATGCCCTCAGCCTACCTGGGGCTCCACTACTGAGAAGACTGACTTCTCTCTCCAAACACAAATGAACAATGAGCTTCATTTCACATGGGGCAGAAGAAGCTACTGAATGTGGCCCAGGCTACGGAACAATGTCACCTGGACCCACAGTGGTTCTTGCGGAGGACAATTCATGCTTGGGCCCCCTCTTCCTCATTTCTAGAAGCCCGATCATTCAGGGATTGGAGGAACCTAGGAACACGTCTACTGAACTTGGCCCAGTGTTTCAGGACGTCAATCCTGCTGGTTTCAGCATAGGCCCTTGGGCCCCACAGGAACTCATAGCAAGCAGGATCACTGTTGGGGACCTGGCGGTACTCTAAGTACTGCTCCTGCACAAAATCTTCAGTGATGAGCTTCCTGGGATTCCCATAGAAGTAGTGCTCCCTCCCAGCATAAACCCCCATCATACTCAGCCCTTCCCAGAAAACCTGTTCAGAGGCACAGTTGCCTTCCACAACGATGATACTCAGGGTGATGATCAGCAGGCCCGTCTTGGGCATGCCCTGCTTATCACTAAGCAACCCATCATATGTCAGCCCCAGGGAAGTGACAAGGATATAGGAGTGGCTGGAGGGGTCCACTTCCCTCATTTCAATGCCAAAGACCAGATGCAAGCAATCACAGGCTCTGCTGAAGACTGCAGGGAAGTAATCCTGGTGACTTCTCCTGACATAATCTAGCATCTCTGCCTTGGTGATTGGCTCCTTCATTTGATACTTGAGGAGCAGGGATGGCACCAAGGATATTGCTTCTCGCATTAAGGACTCAGGGCTTACCAGCCTGCTCCGGGGGACCAGACCTTCCCCTCCACGGCTTCTGGAGCCCTGGTTGAATTGGCTCCCTGGACTGGACACCGAGCTAGCAGGGGGACAGGTGGCTCTCTGAGGACTCTGGGGACAACACGGTGTCCCAGCAGGAGGCACATCTCTTGGAGTGACTGGTATCAGAAGAGTAGAGGAGAAACAAGGGTTGCCAGTATCCCCCTCCTCCTCAGCCACAGGGACCTGCGCATCCACCAGGCCCGGGGCCTCTCTTTGGGCCTGAGCATTCCCCTCCAGCTTAGGTTGCTGGCTCTTCTGACCATGAGGCATCATGACTTTCCTTGAGGACAGCAAGCAGGAGGGTGGGCAGGAGCTTGGGGATGGGGACTCACAGGCCTGGAGGAGAGAAGGAGCACGTGATTGTCCTCACTGAGAACTGCATCCTAATCCCCCTACACCCCATAGGTTTTCTTCTAGCTGGTGGAATGGGGAGGTGAGGGACTTAGGTCATGTGTGTTCGGTGAGGGGACTCCCTCTCTCCTCACCTTGACTCCTGGCAGATCCTGGACAGCTCCTTCTGATGATCAGGCTTGGCTCCCTCTCATGTCCTGGTGTCTCCTCTTACTCCAGGCCCTAAGCTCCCTGAGACCTGGGAGAGAAAAGATAATGAAGCTCATCTGGACACCCCTGCAGGCTGACAGAAGTAGCAGGGGTCAGGGGTCCTCCTGTCCTCAAAGTATTCATACTTACTCCTCACCAGACCTGTGCCCTTCCCCTCTGCTGACCTGTGCATCTATCTTGCAGGCCAATGCAACCATCTCCATGACCCTTAACCCATCTCTGAATAGGAAGGCAGGGGTGGCATCTCCTTCCCAGAGTCCTGCCTGGAGCCACCCTGGCCTGACAGGAATGATAGGTTTTTCATGTCTCAGATCAGGGGTCTTCTTGTTCCTCCAGGGTCCTGCTGGGACACTCCTCAGAAGCCACACTCCTAAGAATAAGGCCCTCTCCTCCCTCATATCTCAGAGGCAGAAGGGAAGGGGCCCTGCATCTGGCCTCTCTGGCCATTGCTAAAATGAGGATAGAGGTCCCCCTTTGATCTGGAGTGCAAAGTTTCTTCATTCGTCCCTTTGAGTTCTCCCCTTGAGCCCAGGCATGATCCCAACCCTCTAAAGACCTGTGTCCCTCTCCCTCAGATTGTTGAGTTGGCTTGTAGGCCATGACTCTGCTTGAAAGCAGGGGTAGGGCTGGAACCCATGTGTCCTGTGTGCCGGGACCCTCAGTTCTGCCTTGTCTCTTGACAGTACCTGGGCCCTTTCTCACTCTCCTGAGGCACTATTCTTTCTGCCAAAGCCTTAACCTCTCAGACCCGAATACAGATGTTAGAAATCACCTTTCTGGTCAAAGTGTGTGGGACCGTCCAGCACTGGAGGCAGTGTGTTGCTGGGCCCTTCCAGGTCATCTCAGTCCTTACTAAGTCCTCAGCTTGACTGCCAGCAGTGGATGTCTCCACACTGTTCACCTGAGGTTCTGTTCCTTCATGCAAAAGTTATACTTCACCGTCCTGGTCACCCTGCATGGGGATTCCCCGGACTGACAGCGGGTGTAGAACTTCCACGGGTTCTCCTTCTCCTGGAGTCTAAGGTTCTCTACCTCACTGTCTAGGCCCCATCCCCTCTGACCAAGACCCACAGTGGTTTCTGACGCCACAAAACAAGAGTTAGGGAACCTCCCAGACACAGTGCCTAGGCCACCCAGGGCAAACAGCAGAGGTAAACTGGGAATTTGCCACCCATCCATCTTCCTTCAGGGCCTTTCCATTGCCTCCAACTAGAACCTAGAATTGTCATCTGCCAGTCTCATGTGTCCCCCTCAGACCAAGGTTCCGATCCCCATAGTCCCTTGAGGGGGAAAAAGGAGGTGTGGAAAGGGAGAGGTGGTCATCTGAATAGAAGCCCCTTGTCCAGCTTTATCAATAAGAGTGAAGCCTCGTCTGTTCCCCTCAGACCAAGGCTCTGACTCCCATGGTCCCGTGAGAGGAAAACATGAGATATGGAAGGGGAAGGGGTGAGCACTTGATTAGAAGCTCCTCCTTGTGCATGTCTAACAGTAAGGGTGTGGATGGATTCTTTGGGATCCTTAATGTTGGGGGAGTTTATTTTGTCCAGTTCTTACCCCCAACTCTCAAAGAGCCCTGGCCTCTCCTCCCCACTGTCCTCAGTGGAAAACTCTGATTCCTATTGTCCCCTGAGGCAGAAGGAGGGGGTGGAAGAAGGGCAATGGCAGTCCCTGATTATAAGCTCTGCATGGGACCTGTGGGAGAGGTGGGGGCAAACAACAGAGGCAGGACTAGATTATTTGGTGAAACCTCTCTCTTTGGTTATGCTTCCTCTGTGCACCTTCAAGTCTTACCTGGAGCCCTCACAGAACTGGACCCTATTCTGTTCACAGATTTCAGACCAAGGCTGTGACTTCCAGGAATCCCTGGGGCAGAAGAAGGGGTGGGGTTTAATGAGTGCACTCTTATGACTTAACACTCCCTGGGGTGCAGGGGCGACATCAGAGGTAGGGCTGGGTTATTTGGGGGACCCACTATCTGGAGGGGGGGCTTCCTCCATCCACCCTTAGCTCTCTCCTGGTCCCCTCTTGACCCCTGGCCTCCCCCTCTCCTCCTCAGACCAAGGTTGTGACTCCCAGGGTTCCCTGGGGCAGAAGGTGGAAGTAGGGGAGGGGTGAGCAGGCTCCTGTGACTAGACACCCCATGTGGTACGGGGTGACAACAGAGACAGGGCTGAATTATTTGGGGACCCTTTATCTGGGGGTGGGGTCTCCTCTGTCCACCTTCACTAATCCCCTCCTTCCCTCCAGAGCCTGGACCTGTCCCTTCCTCAGACAAAGGCTGTGACAACCAGGAGTTCCTGGGTCAGAAGGAGTAGTGGGGGAGGGGTGAGCATACTCCTGTGACTAGAGGTTCCTCAACTCCTCCCTCCCCTACCCACCACCGCTCTCCCAGCTTCCCCTCTCCCCCGTGTGCCAGGGAGACAAGAGCACAGCTAGAGTATTTGGGGACCCTAACTCTGGGAGGGATGTTTTGTTTCTCTGCTGTCCACCCTCAGCTCTTCCCTCATTCCCTCCCAGAACACAGGTCTCTCTCTCCCCTCCTCACACCAAAGCTGTGACTCCCAGGATTCCCTGGGGCAGGAGGAGGGGTGGGGGAGGGGCGAGCAAGCTCCCGTGACTGGACACCCCCATGCGGGACATGGGTGACAAGCGGGACAGGGATGGATTACCTGGGGACTCTCTATTCGGGGGTGGGGTTTCCTCTGTGTGCCTTCAGTCCTCCCCTCCTTCCCTCCCAGAGCCCGGACCCGCTCCTCCTCAGACCAAAGCTGTGACTCCCAGGATTCCCTGGGGCAGGAGGAGGGGTGGGGGAGGGGCGAGCGAGCTCCCGTGACTAGACACCCCCATGCGGGACATGGGTGACAAGCGGGACAGGGATGGATTACCTGGGGACTCTCTATTCGGGGGTGGGGTTTCCTTCGTACATCTTCAGTCCTCCCCTCCTTCCCTCCCAGAGCCCGGACCCGCTCCTCCTCACACCAAAGCTGTGAATCCCAGGATTCCCTGGGGCAGGAGGAGGGGTGGGGGAGGGGCGAGCGAGCTCCAGTGACTAGACACCCCCATGCGGGACATGGGTGACAAGAGGGACAGGGATGGATTACCTGGGGACTCTCTATTCGGGGGGGGGTTTCCTTCGTACATCTTCAGTCCTCCCCTCCTTCCCTCCCAGAGCCCGGACCCGCTCCTCCTCACACCAAAGCTGTGAATCCCAGGATTCCCTGGGGCAGGAGGAGGGGTGGGGGAGGGGCGAGCGAGCTCCCGTGACTAGACACCCCCATGCGGGACATGGGTGACAAGAGGGACAGGGATGGATTACCTGGGGACTCTCTATTCGGGGGTGGGGTTTCCTTCGTACATCTTCAGTCCTCCCCTCCTTCCCTCCCAGAGCCCGGACCCGCTCCTCCTCACACCAAAGCTGTGAATCCCAGGATTCCCTGGGGCAGGAGGAGGGGTGGGGGAGGGGCGAGCGAGCTCCCGTGACTAGAGGTTCCTCTACTCCTCCCTCCCCACCCCGCCCCGCATGCCAGATTGACAACCGGGGTGCAGCTAGATTATCTGGGGACCCTAACTCTGGGTGAGATGTTCCTCTGCCCGCCCTTAGCTCTCACCTCAACACTTCACAAGCTGAGCCTCTGAGGGACGGACCTGAAGCGCGGCGCAACCTCAGCCTCTGAGGTTTCTAGAAGCCGGCAACGTCACATCCGGTGTGGTGCCCGGGGTCTCCCAGGGCTGACAGGAGGGGCGGAAGGGAATTCTCCAAGACCCTCCACCCTCCCTCTTAGGGTCCCGGCTTTGGTTCCTGGCGGAGCCTGGACCCCTGTCCTGTACGGACCTCAGTCCGCTCTCCTCAGACTCCCAGACTCCCCTTAGGTGGCAGAGGGGTGAGGGGATTGGTCAGGGTAACCATGGGTGACCGTGATGTCCAGGGCTTTCCAGGGCTGACCACAGGGGTGGAGATACATTCTGTGGGACTGCTCTCCATGGAGGGAGTGTGTCCCCTCATTCCTCAGAGTCCTGTTCTTGGCTCCTGGTAATAACTGTATCCATATTTTCTATGGACTTCCGTCTGCTCCAGTCACATTTCCAACACTCCCTGAGGTGGCGGAGAGGTGAAGGGAGTGGCCACGCTGAACATGCTGCTGTCCGGGACCTTCCAGGGCTTACCACAAGGCCAGAGTTGGAATCTGGGGTTCCTTTCCTTGATGGAGGGTGTCCCTTCATTCCTCACTCAGAGTGCTCTCCTTGGTCCCTGGCAGAGTCTGGACATTCCTCCTCAGGTGAAATTTGAGTGGTGATGGCACATCTCTGTAATCCCAGCCATGCAGGAGTCAGTAGGTAGGAGGATCACTGTCTGAGGCCAACCCTGGGCAAAAATGTGAAACCCTATGCAAAAAATAAGTAAAACAAAAAATGACTAGGGGCAGCGCTAGCAAGTGCAAAGCCCTGGTTTCAAATCCCAGACCACCATAAAAATATCATGCCAGACCTCAATAAGTACAATTTATGCATGTTAATCAAAAATAAGGCAAAATACTTTTAAGAAAAGAAAACACTGTGTGAATTTCCAACCTGTTGGCCTGCCCTACAAATTTCAGATATGCCAAACTCCACAACCACATAAGCAAATTCCTTAAAACGCCTGTCTTTCTGCAGAAAGGTATCTATATCTCTATAGATAGATATGGGTAAAGATAGAAGTGCAGTAAGGA